CTCGGACGTCACCCTCTTGCGCCCCGAGCTTTTCCACGTTCGCGCGCTCGAGGCCGTCACTGTCTCTGGGCCGGGGTCCGAACTTGTCCGCGACATCAAGGAAGCGCTATCCGGTGAGCCTGACCTAGAGGAGCCCGTCGCGCTTGCGGCCCGGCAACTCTTGAAGGTCCGAGGTCAAGTTCGGGGCCCCTAGGGAATGGCACGGGTATACCCACGGGTATCCAAGGGCCTACCCGCACCCGTACCCGCACAGCCACAGTACTCATACCCGCGGGTACGGGTATGGGTTTACCCATGGTTTGGGCAGGCAGGGAGGAAGAGACAGCTTGGTTATTGTCCGGAAGGTGGGATAAAAATGCTGTGCAAGAGCAGAGTCGAACACAGAGCATCTTGGACACCACAAGGGAGCAAAGCTAGCTGAGTCATCAAGCCACGGGCAAGGCTGTCGCTGACCCGTACCCGTACCTGCGCGGGTAAAACCCGCGTACCCGCGCGCGGGTATGGCCTACCCGTGCCATTGCCTAGGGGCCCCCGCTCATCATGTTCGGACGAGTGGGCCGTCTCGGGCGATCTCTTGTACTTCCGCGGCAAGGTCGTAGTCCCCAAAGACAAGGACCTAAGGAGGCGCATCATCGAGCTCTGCCACGACACGCGGGTCGCCGGACACGCCGGTCGGTTCAAAACCCTAGAGCTGGTTTCGCGCAACTACTGGTGGCCACAGATGTCCCGCCATATCGGACGCTACGTCGCGACCTGCGACTTGTGCTGCTGCACGAAGGCCCTCCGAAGGCTCCCGCACGGAGAGCTACACCCGACCGAAGTCCCCCCCGAACGCTGGCACACCATCACGGTGGACTTCATCGTCGAGCTCCCCGAAGCTCATGGGTACGACGTGGTCATGGTAGTCGTCGACACTCTTGGTAAACGCGCCCACTTCACCGAGTGCCATACGACAATAGACGCGGTCGGAGCCGCCCGGTTGTACTATCGGAATGTCTGGAGGCACCACGGAACCCCCGAGAAGTACATTTCGGACCGTGGTTCGCAGTTCATCGCTGGCTTCACGTGCGAACTCTGGCGCTTAATTGGCGTCAAACCGGCCACCTCTACGGCTTACCACCCGCAAACCGACGGACAAACCGAACGCGTTAACCAAGAGCTCGAGCAGTACATCCGGATCTTCACCAACTACCAACAAGACGACTGGGACGAGCTTATCCCTGCCGCTGAGTTCGCCTATAACAACCACGTTCACTCCTCCACTCAACAGGTACCCTTTATGACGGACACTGGTCGGCTCCCCCAAATGGGTTTCGAGCCAGGCGCCCGCTCAGAGTTGGAGTCGGTGAACGAGTTTCGATCGGATAGCTAACGGCGTCTCCGAGGCAAAGGCCGCGCTCGTTAAAGCCAAAGACGAGTATAAACGGTACTACGATCGGAAACGTTCGGATGCTCCGAATATTCAAGTTGGTGATAAGGTTTGGCTGGACGCTTCTGACATCAGAACGACTCGGCCCTCCGAGAAGTTCTCCCACAAGCGCCTTGGACCGTTCAAGGTGCTCGCAGAGGTTAGCAAAGGTGCCTACAAGCTCGACCTCCCCCCGCGTTACTCTAAGCTCCACCCCGTCTTCCCCGTTGTTAAGCTCGAGCCCGCTCAGGACAACCCCTTCGATGGACGACCCGGCTACGACGAACTGCCCCCCGAACTAGAGGACGGAGTCCCCGAATGGGAAGTCGAGGAAATCTTGGATGCCAGGATAAGGTATAAGCGTCTTAACTATTTCGTCAGGTGGAAAGGCTACGATGCCTCACACGACTCGTGGGTTCGGTTCGACCGTGTCTTTGCGCCAGACAAGATTGCGGACTTCTATCGGAGGTACCCGGGTAAACCACGGCACATCGCCTCAGCTCCTTGCCCTTTCGAACTATGCGTCGGGACGCCGCATTCAAAGGGGGGGGTGATGTCAGGGAACCCCCGCTTCGGCCTCCTTCGGACCCTCCGAACGCATCCGAGGCGCATCCGACCGGCGCCCCCTCGGACGCTCCGACCCACCCCGACCATTGTCCACGGCCTCCTTCGCCCGCACAATCACCGATCCGTCAAGACCCTCCCAACGATCACCTTGGGACAGAGCCTGCGACGCCGCTCAGGCCTTCTGCGCTCTACGTCGGCAGTTACGGACGACCAGTATATAGTTGGTGCCCTAGCAGGCAGACCCTTAGAGTTTCTTCTCTTTGGATCCTCCCCTGCTAGGTTGGTCCCTCCGTGTATTTCCCATAGCTTTTATTCACGCTTTGGATCCTCCCCTGCTAGGCTTTCGTCGGAGTCTCCAGGGTTGCCCTTACACCAGCGAAGAAAGTCGGGAAGTCGTCCTCGTCAATATCTACCATCAAGACAGTGTTGCTGCCAGGGCCACTTATCCAATTCCAGACCTGGAGGGGTCAATCTGTTGTTGCCCAGCTCCAGTGCGTCTTCGGTATCAGCGGGATAGCGTCTTGCTTGGGAGATGTCGAAACCTTGCTCGGTGGTAAGCATAGCCACCAAATTGCGTCAGCTCCAACGCAGCCATTGATCGAGCGGAATTTGCGACAGGCTGAGGTGGGTACGGATGAAGTCAACGTGAGCCGCGATATGTTCTCCAAGGTTTGAGCCTGGAGACGCGTCCTTGCGCGTGACATAAGAGGCAATGACCGCAAAGGTTTTGTGTGCGTCCAAGACGTCAGTAATATCACGAGGGAAGGTGTGTGGGGAGAGGCGGTCGACATCATCGCCAATCATCGCCAATCGACATGCTGAACCCCGGAATGTCGAAGACGGGGACCATTTTCCCGCCGAAAGACACTACCGGCATCATTCTTGTGGGGATCTTGTCCTGTTCGTTAAACGCGCGCAAACGCGCTATAGTAAGCGCCGGGAGGGGAACTGGTTTTCGGAGGGAGAAAGCCGCGATGATGGGGTCGGGGATGGGGATGCCATTCTTGGTCGTCAAGCCCGACTTCGTGGGTTCCAAGCCACCTTTGAAAGACATTGTCGGCGTCGCTGGCTTGTTGTCGCGCAGGTAATTCGAGACGAGGGTGAGCAGCGCGATCGAGAGGGGTTCGTGGGATTTGTGGATTCTGTCCTTTGTGGCGCAAGCCTCAATTTCCTCCTCAGTGAAACCCTGGAGCGCGCGCAAGGGACCACCAATGTCGGGCACGGCCGCGTCCTTAGCCAATGCAGCCAGCCTTGCTCTCTCCGTCTGCATCAAGGACTTTCTATTCGACTCCTCCACGTCGCGGTTGTAAACGTTGCGGTCTTGCGAAGAGAGGAAGAATGAGATGACATCCTCAGGAGCCGTCATCTTGGCCTCAAAGTCGAAATCCGCGGGATATGGGGCTTGGACACCTGCAATGGGCATCATTTCACCCGCTTTGTAGAACTGCATTGCGCGCGAAAAGGCCGCGAAAGGCTGGGAGAGCAAGGGTGAATGAGGAAGGGGCTAAAAAAGTCGAAGTCGCGGTGAACGCGAGAAGTCACGCCAAGGTCACACGCCATCTATTCAGGACTACTACGGTGGGCTTCCTCCCAGTCGAGAGCCATCTTATCTCCCGTTACCCCAAGTAGTTATAGAGATAGAGGCACATCAGTTGTAGATCAGTAAGTGATTGGCTTATGCTGGCATAACCATTCAGCTGTGACTATAGGTTACTTAATGAAAGTTGTTCGTATAAACAAAACATACAACTTTGGTTTGTGACGATCTGTGACATTCTCTGATGATTATACTGTCAAATGGCGAAAATTTCCTTTTTTGGAAATTTGTCACACTATGTGACCTTGTATAACAGCGTGACTCAGGCGCTGAAATGAACACAAGTCACCAGGGGTTCAATTATTCAACATCATTCATAGCATGATATACTTGTAGTATAACGACTGACAAACCACTTTGTGACGTCACATACCAGTTCAAGTCCGAGTCTTATGCTAACTAATAAGCCTAAGTTACCTTAGAGCTTGGGATTTACGCACTTTATAGCAGCTTTATTGGAGTATTTATCATAGCGTAGGGTTTCAGAGCCATCCTCTCTAATTAGAATGACCAGTGGGGGGTAATGGTCATTCTAATTAGAGAGGATATGCGGAATCCACAGGTGGGTTTGGCCGGGTTCAGAAATCAGTGTACCCTGACCCTGACCCTGACAGACCCTACCCTGAAACCCTGCAGGTTTTCATATTATAGATCTTGTCATTCCTTCTCTTTGAACCCTCCCCTGCTATGAATCTCAGGCCTCTGGTAGATATGCTGCCCATGGCCATTGAAGATGCTGGCTATGACTCAAACTATAAAAAATTTAAAACAGAAATTTAGCTTTTAATACTAAATCTCCACTCTAATTTAAACTCCTCACAACTCAAAATCCTAGATTCAATAGCGCGCAAGTTTGGGGTGGTTCAATGCGCTGTTGCACTTTCAAACTTAGAGTTACTTAAGTTAAACAAACCAGATCAAAAGATCAGATCAAGAGGTTCAACAAATCCAATAGATAAAGAAATCAACAACTAAACAATTCTAAATTGCTCAGAAGAAAGGTTGGTTTGTACACCTCCAAGTCTAGCCAGTCCTGACAAACAGATTTCTGTAGTATATTGTCAAAGTCACACAATCATTACATCTTGGCCTATAAGTATAATTCATGCAAGTAAGTTGTCATCCATAGGTTAAATAGACATTGGAATAGTACTTAAATGACGAAGTATTTATCTATGTTCCTTTATATTTTGTTTTTAATATTCTCTGCCATTCATTTTTAAATACTAAGTATGCAACAATCTATTTCACATGAACATCAAGGCACTTGGGGATAATGAAAACTCATTCATCATTTTGGGTAAAAAAAATATTACACAATAATAATGGGATCCACGGATAGATGGCCAGGACTATAGTAATCATGACGCTAACATTTTAGTTCTGCTTGAGGCTAAGTCTCAAAGAACCTTTTCATTCACTCGGAGCTCAGACAAGTGGAAACGGCTGTGAAATATATCTACAATGGTTAGCTTCTTCAGTGAACCCTGTACAATATGGCACTCACTGCAGCATCTGGGTCCAAGGGACAAGCTCGAACGTGAGCGACGGCGACTCCGTACGAACTTTCAGCTGGCGCAACCGGACATAAACGTCCTGCGTCGTGTCTTCGAGCCCGTTGACCGACTTCCTTGCGCGGATGTTGCACGCCTTGAAGTGAAATGCCTTCTCCGCGCTGCGGGCCGCGAGGAAGTCTGCCACCACGTCGTCGTCGAGCGTGTCGGGGAGGAAGTAGCCGGCCACGGCGAGGACCTCGAGGCACGGCACGAGGCGGGTGTTGGCGAAGGTCCTCGCAAAGTCGTTTGTGAACAGCATGTGATCCTCGACGCTCTTGACCCCGCGCTCCCACGCGTCGTCCCACAGCCACTCATGGCTCCGGTCGATGTCCTGCACGTAGAGGCTGCGCAGAGCGGAGCAATGGGCGAGCGAGGCGGCCAGTTCGCCTGGCGTCGTGAGTACGTCCTGCAGGAAGAGGCTTGTGAGATCCTCGGCGCGTCGGGCAAGTTTGGCGAAGGCGTGGTGCGGCCAGGAGATGAAGTCGTAATCGGCGTGCGACACGTGTCGGATGTACAGTGTCTGAAGGCGGGGCAGGTCAAGCAGCTGCATAATCTGCCCTAAGATTTGGCGTGTGGCTTCGGGTTGCAGTTTCCTCGTGACGACGCCGATTGATAGACAGCCGACATTGCCACTGAGCTGGAGATCGGTCACCGGGGAGGACAACGGAATTTCATCGATGCGCAGCTGTGGAATGGTAACGGCGCAAGAAGGAAAACACTCGGCGAGGAAAGCGAGTTGGGCGCGTATGTCCTCGAGGCTCTTCGGCCAGGGGTAGTTGTCCAACTCGGCTGTGACGCTGAAGAGTTGAGCCCAGGGCAGCTTGGGCGGAACCTTGTTAAATCTGACTGTTGTCAGCTTTGGCGCCACTTCGAAGGCGTCGATGCCTGCCAGAGAAAGATAGCTGGAAATGGAGAGGGACTCGAGCAATGGAAGGCGGCCGCGAATGGCGGGTATCGACGCCCTCGTGCCGTAGTCATCGACAGATAGCCTGAACTCCAGGCGCCGCCACCGTTCAGCATGCGTTGCGAGGAGTCGCAAACCGCGCCGCGAGTCCCGCTCGGGATCATAGACAATATCGAGAGGCAAGCTAGCGGAGTGTTTCAAACAGAGTCGAATTATCGGGAGGACGATGAAGTCCGAGCCTTGACTGCGCATGTTCATATTAGACCAGAGGACCGGCGTCCCAATGATGATACGCCGCCAATGCACGCAGACTTCGGCCACCGTCGACAGGTCTGAGATGCCCTCCGAGTAGATGCTCGATCTGTCCGCTAGATAGGTCTTTTTGGTGGGCGACATGTGCTTGAAGATCTCGAGAAGCAGCTCGGGCGGCAGACGCCGAATTGGCGCCAGCGTGCTCCTGCAGGCCATCATATACGCGCGAAGCACGTCCCTCTCGCCAGCCACTGCGTCATAAGCCTCCTTCAAAGCCGCTATCTCCTCCTCATAGCGCTCCAGCTGCTCGTCGTAGAGCTCCAGGTCCGTCGAGCCCTCTTCGAGGATAGCTTCTGTATGAGTGGCGACGGCGCCAGACGGCGCAGAGTTGGCGCGACAGAGATCTTGGATAGTGTCCCACTGCTCCTCAGTCGGAAGGTTGACGGATGAAAACGGTTCTGTGGACGGCGAACGGCGGCTCATGATGGCCCGGGAAAGAAGAAAAAAAATGACCTGATCTGACGTGTTATAGATTTGAGTTTTTCTCACAGTCTGCCAAATGGCAGATGCGGCCGATATTTCGGTAAATTACGACCGAAGGGCTGGCTTTGGACTCGCTTTCAATTTCGGGCTCGTTCAGCAGGTCAGTACTGTTTGTTGCAGTTGTGGAGGCCGCGTATAGAGCTAAGTTGCGGACGGTTGTTATTTACTAGTGGCTTGAATTGCTCTCGCGACGGCTAGATAACGAAAATTTGCATAAAAACTTATATATTATACGCTTCTCCACCGAGAAAGAGGAGCGACGTTGGACGTGGGGTAAGATTCTGGCCTCTCCATCTTCGGGTCCATCCCACCGTGAATCGTGATCACCTTGGGCCAGAGGTAACCGAAGCCCTCTCGACAAGTGCATCCCACTCGGCTTCGGTGTAGTCCCGGACGGGAATCTGCCATTCCTCGTGGGCGCTGTGGGAGAGGACAGAGTCCAGCTCCCATGCCTCGGTCTCTGCGAACGACGCCTCCGTCCATCGCTCCCAGTCGTCGTCCGCTGGAACGTGGTGCGATGCGGACTTCTTGCTTAGTGGTCCTGCATCACAGGTCAGTATCGATTGAAAAACCCAACGACAAGCCACGCACCTTGGCGCCGACGGCGGACCTTCGCGGGCCGCGCGATGTCGAGCAAGTTCACCTCCACCCGGGCCGTCGTCCGGTGCGCCGGCTCGAAGTCATCGTCGTCGATGTCGTCCGTCTCTCGCTGCCACTCGTCACGGGCGTCACGGCTGCCCAGCTCCTGTGCTGCATGGACGCGCTGGGCAACGGCGAGCCGCCGCCGGGCAGCGTCGCTCCGCAGAAACTCGGGCCGCGCGCCGTCAGCGTGGAGCTGCTCTTTCGCGGCGGCAACGGCCTGCGGGTAGGTGAGCCCTTGAGCGCGGGCTTGGGCGCGGAACGCCTATGCTGGTCAGCGGTCAGGAAGCGTTTATGGGCCATGGAAACGGACCTTGCGTGCGTTGTGCGGGTCTTGGGGGACTAGTTGCGTGCGTGTCATTGTTATGGGGATTCGCGCTGGGGTGTTGGTTGTTCGCTGGGTTGGTGCTGTGAGGAGAACGGAAGGGAGAGATGTTTTTATAGACATACCTCCCCGGTACCGTTGACTCATTTGCATCGGTTTGTGTCCGTCGGAGACGCTGAATCAGCAAGATGACTCGAATCGGTGTCGGGGCACAGCATGGCGTCTAGGCGCTTCTCGGATGTTCGTGTCATTGTTTCCGCCAGCGCTGCCGGTCCAGGAGGATACTAGTATTGTCGGGGCCGCACTATGAGTCGATCATGAGCGTCGTGAAGAAGAAGGGAATGCCAAGTCCCACGGGATCAGATGTGATGCGGATCAGAAAAATTGCGTCACGTTTTTTCTCACACACCCAGTGGCTAGTCAACGGCGCTCACAGAACTTTCGACGCATGAGAAGGCATGATGGAGCCTCTCAGCTGGAGCACCCGATGGTCTGCATGGACACAGAAAACCGGATGTACAGCCGATTCAACACATTTGATTTTCACGAGTCATTCATCATCACATTCAACCGCAAACTAGAGTCCAAAGACCAGTACGGAAATCAGAAACTGTAGCCGATTTGTCCTTTCCGTCACCAACGCCCGCCCGTCCTTCAAAGAGTGATCGGGAGGCAGTTGATCGCGATGAGCCCGCCCCACTCCTTCTGCGGGGCGTCGCACGTGACGGTGGTCGAGCCGCTACACGCAGTCAGTGAATCGAAAGGCGGCTAAGTAAGCGTGCAAACCAGTTGTTGCCGATGACGGTGATGGGCGAGCAGCTGAGGCCGATGGGGACGTTGAGGCCGCTGAGGTCGAGGCCGACGAGCGCGGCGACGAGGGACGCGACGGAGCTGGTGGAGGAGACGACGCTGGCGCAGCACTGCGGCGAGGAGGGCGGGGTCACCGGGGGCGTGTTGGGCACGGCGGCAGCAAGGGTCTGTAGACGCGTCAATAGGGCTTCGACGCCTTTCAAGGGAAGCGCATACAATGAGCACCGAGGTGGTGAGCAGGGCGAGCTTGTTGAACATCTTGGGGAGGGCTTGAACGACAGGTGGGTTGTGTTCGAGTGAAGAAAAACGGTGTACGGCGTGCAGTTTTTATATGTTTTTGGACAGTGTGCAAGTTCGTGCGTGCCGTCATGGATGAAAACACGAACGAGGAACTAACAGTGGGAAGAGTGGAGCTGATTGGCAGGTCGTTGTTGCCTTCGATTACAGACGGGCCTAGAAGTGGGAGAAGCAAGCGTAATTTAGAGGAAGACTTGATGCACGGAGAACTTTTTTTCCTCAGGCTGGCCTCGCTGGTCAGTCAGAAAATCATCAACGAAACATGAACCAGATAGCGCACAAAGATCCCGATATTGCTTGAGGTTTGCCAAGTTATTCTTCGTTCGAGGTAACTGAAGGAGCTATGTAACAATGTCAAATGAATCAGTGCACATTTTGAAGGGACCTTGAATACTTGCCTCGCGCTTGAATGTAGCTTTCCCAGTCGGGAGCCCAACATCCCTGATGTCACGGTGTGGCGGCAGAGCGTCGTAACCATGAGAAATGGATACCCTGACGAGCCAACGCGGAAAACAACATCAGGACATGCGCGTTCGCAATTGCCCGACGGACGTGCGTCGCCCCGGCCAGAAGCCTGTCGCCCGTCCCCGGCAGCGCACGGCAGAATCTGCCTGGCGGCAATAGAGCGGGCGGACGCGCCAGGCGAGTGGGCCAGGGTCTACAGTCAGCGGAGGCGGGAGGCATGGAAGAGCTATTTGAAGGAAAACATGGAAATAAGTCTTTAGTTCGGTTCAAATGCGTAAGTATAGGGTTTTCTGTGCACACTCACCGCGCGGGAGTAGTTCGTGATCAGTCCACCAGTAATCCGTAACGATGGGCGGCCCGCGACATGCCTTATTTGACGGCGTTGCAATCCGGGATGCAGTCCGGGATGGTCCTCTCGACCTTCGGGCAATGGCAAACGGGCGTCGGGCAGATGGAAGTCAAAACGAAGACGTGGCGGCTGATGTAAGCAAGATGACGAAGCTCGAGGATTTCGGCCGAAAGAATTCGCTTTGTGACTGGGCCGGTGTATAACAAGACTTGACTGACAGAGTATGAAGAGAACCTCGAGGAGATATATAGCTCCTTAGTACTCCAGCCATCGTCCCAATGACGAGCTTCAAAGTCCTCCTGATCAAGTCACGGGTTGCACGTGAGCGTGAGTGATCCACGATCAATCAGTAAACTGACCTCTCCGATGTTGCTCACAGCTTCCACATTCGCCGCCCACTGCCACCCAGACTCATCCGCCAATCTTCCGACTTCAGACGACTCGACGGGGACTCATGCGGCTGGCAGCGGACAGAACCAGCGCCCGACTTCTTCGTGTAATTCCGCGTCATTGGCTCGACCACTTCTCAACAGAATCCAGCAATAGCTGGCATAGTGGCACCAACACATGGTCACATCTATCACCAACGTCTTAGTCCACGTCGACGTCAACGTCTATCGCTATCCTACGCCCCACACAACTGCCTGGGATGGCAGATAAGCATCAAGATGGACGGCGGCAGTGGTATCCCGGTCAAGCATTAGTGGATGGTCGGTCACTTGTCGACGGGCTTGGGATTTGCTAGCGCTGGCCGTAGATGCGGTGCGCGCCGTCGTTCGCTTCTCTCCTCTGCACTTCCACCTCCCTCCCTTCCTTTCGTCATGCACTCTCGGTCTTTACCCGCATCGTCCTTTTCAAGACGTTCCAGAATGAATCTTAACAGACATCATGAATGGGCTGTAGTGCGTGCGGATGAGGGACCATCATGTTGTATTCCTTGCGAACCTCTCATTGCCTGGCTGACTTCCCTTTCAGTTTCGCCACCTACGCCGACGCCTTCCCTCCCCTTCTCCGTCCCGCCGCCCAACTCTGCCGTCCAATCACATCGCGCCATGCTTGTCGCTGTCGCCTGCGTCGCACTCGTTCTCCTGCTCGGAGGCGGGGTCTCTCTCTTTTGGTACCGCCGTCACTCGCGCGCAGCGAGAAAACGAGCATGGGAGAAAAAGTACGCGCTGGAAAAACCTCAGAGTGCCATGCGGAGAGGAGCGCGTGTGCCGGAGCCCCCAACTGTAGTCGTTCAGCCCCCACCAGTGGCGATCCAGAGCTATCCACAGCCACCAGCGCAGTATGCGTATCCCAATGTTTCCATGCAAGAAGAACGACATCCGATCCAAACACGGTCTCCTTCACCTCTATCTCCAGCACACATTCGCGGATCACATGCTTCTCCTACTTCTTCGCCTATATCGTCTGCCCCCCTTTCTCCAAATCACCTCTTGCTTCCGCTATCGCCATTACCGCCAACGAGTCCGCCGCCACCAGTGACGCCCGGGTCGCCATGGACTACTGTCAAACGCTTCTCTGACTCCAGCCATGTGTCATTCAGCTCCACCGTCGAGATGGGGCGCGGGTACGGCTGGAGCGGCTCGCCCACAAGCGCAGTCGTGCCGTCTTTAGTGGGCATACATCCCTTTTCCGCCATGGCCAATACGACCGACGAGGAGCTCGAGGAAGAGGAACGACAGGACACTGTCATGCCGCTCCCCAGCTCCGCGTCAAGCAGCAGAAATCCCAATAACTCGAGCACACTGGCCCCGGCACTTTCCGAGAAGGCTGCCCTGGCCGCACTTGAACGCGCACGCGAGGAAGCAGCGGAACAGCAAGCCGAAGATGCGGAGTCGTCGAGCGGATCTCCGGGTCGGCCGTTCAGCGCCGCGCCAGCCTACCGCGAGAAAGACGCAATGTTGGCGTTTGGCACGGTGCGCAACACTCCGGGGCGGAGCGGCGGGAAGGCGGGGTTGATGAGCGTCGCGTCTGAGGTAACACTCCCTGTGTACGAACCTTGAGACAGTTCTCTTCCCTTGTACACTATTTTTTCATATTCTTGATGTCGTAGCATTTAGGTTTTTTCTTGAAACTATTGACTTGATTAATTTGCAAAGAATGATGTAGAATGATGCATTTGAAATATGGTAGATATTTTTGAGTTCACCAGCAAATTCAATGAGTTGTGGTACATTGGAGGTACTTGATGTTTAGTGACTGGGCTGAGCGTGTATTATACCACTGGTAAAGTAGCTGCTTTGACTCGGAGTGAATTCAAAACTTCATAGAAACATGAACACAAATTCACCTGTAAATCCCACTTTACCCTGCTAACTAGGATGGATGATGCATTGCAGCTCCCATCCTAACTAGAATGAAATCACTCTGAGGCCCTATGCTGCAGTAAATAGTGCAATAAAACTGCTATAAAGTTAATAATTTTCCAAACAGATATTTTCTAAGTTATAGAACTGCTTATCAGTGATAATTTGATCTTAAATCATGATCACATCACTGCTTGCCAAAAAAGGCAACTTTGCTCTAAGAAATAATTCAGATACTATATATCTTAGAACTTATTACCAACATCAGTACCATCACCAATCAGATCAGAACTGCCTAAAATAGAAATGTGTCGAATACTGCAATACAGCTGCTATACAGCCAGTAAGTACTGCTGACATAATATTTCAAAAGTTCCAAAGCTACTATAAGTTATGACCACACCACTAACAGCCATAAAAGGCAACTTTGCTACTCGGTCGGTTACCTCATTAGGTAAGATTGATTTACTCTATGTCATACATTCACTAGTAAGCACACAGGACCATCTTAAGAAAGCAGGCAATTAAAAGATGACCATTAAAACGCGACAATCAACTACAGTAGCACTCATAGATGGTAGGTATCAAGGAGAACACAAGGGAGAAGAGAATGAAAGAAAAAAGTTTATAGCTCTCGAACACCAGGCGGCCCCTTCCCCTTTTTGCCTTTCGCAAAGGCCCGTGCACTGGATGCCTCATTGACGTTGGCTTTTCCAAATGCAGGTCGCGGTTTTGGTCTTGGTTTCACCTGACTTCCACCTTCGCCACTTGCTCCATCCATACGACGCTTCAGTCGGCGTAGTGCCCGGCCTCCATCATCCACGTGGTCATTTTCTTTCTCCTCGACCCGCTTCTTCTTCTTTGGCCTGCTGCCCTCCTCGTGCTCATCCACTTTCCGCTTCAAGCTCTTGGTTTTCTTTCGTGGTCGGGGTTTAGCAGACGATTTCGCGGATTTACGTGCTGCAGCTGCCCGCGAAAGCGCCGTGAGCATCTGGCGCTTGCGCTCGATGGTACTCGTTGGTTCCGGCGTCGTGTTTGCATCGTCTGGTGAGTGTTGCTTGTCGTTGTCCGTCAACTCATCATCGCTCTCCACTCGCTTCCTCTTCTTCGACCCCCGAGTTGTTCCCTTGTCATTCCTCACCTTGCGCGTCTTTGCCGCTGGGAGAGCGCCTTGCTGTTGAAGCTGTTTCAACCGCTTCAGCTCTTTCTTGACCCCATCGTCGTCCAGTCACTCCCATACACATGACTTGTCTTGGAGAGCAGAGTATATGGTGTAAGGCTTCTCACGAGTGTCACGGATAAGTACCTGTACTCTACCTGCAGGTAATTTAGGCTTCAAAACCAATACCTGCATTTGCAGCATCCGTGGGAAACGGGTACCTGTACTCACGGATACGGGTACCTGCACGGGTTATCCACGGGTATTTTGAATAAAATATTAGGATACTGAGGTATATTGACAATATTAAGAGCTTATATAGGATATAGTATCTAGTAATATACTGATATGGACACCACAGGGCATAAGAAGACTGTAGTGACTGGAATATATGGAAGATAATGAAAATTGAGATCTTCAAGAGTCATACCTGTACTCTTGGCATCCGTGGGAAACGGATACCTGTATCCGCGGATGTCAAACCTGCGGATGTTTTCCTGCAGGTACCTGTGCAAACATCCGCGAGTGTTGACACTCGTGCGGAGCTTTAATATTATGGTGCGTGTGTCCGTGTTGTTCTGGAGAGACATTCTTTTGAAGGGGACATCTTCGGGCCAACGAATAGTGACGCTGTGGGCGGCAACAATCTTCTCGCCGAAGGTCTCGAAGTTCATTCGGATCGTCTTTCCTACGATGTCCTCTGGTAATGGAATGAGTAAACTGGGAAGCAAGTAATGAAAACACCAACCTAATCCCCGCTGAATTATAGCTGCGGCCTCCACCCGCATCTCGGGGACACTCGGCGCTCCTAGCTTTCCTATATAGTTGTTGTCAGATACACAATCACACACTGTTGTCGACGACAAACCTTTAGCGCGTGCAACAGCCCATAACTCCAGCAATCCAGGGATTTGTGCAGGGTCCCTCTTGAGGATATCGTTGAAAAAGCGTGAGGCACCTCCGGTCTCGATCATGACTGGGACCATTGTGTCGTTGAGATGTCCCCGACTGAAAAACGAGACACCAAGTATGCCTGTGCGCCTTTCGAGCTCGACCATCTGTGCAAGGATAGTGTCAGCCACAAAACAGACTGCAATGAAGACCATTTCTACCTCCTCTGATGTGAATTTGATCGTGGAGACCCCATCGGCTGCGGCTGACTTGTTGTCTTTCCGAACCCCAACCCGTTGAACCTCGCGCTGCGTCCTTGATAGCTTCAACCATGTTGTCGATTTCCTCTTCTGTGACGTCTTTGAGCAGGCTTGGATCCTCCGCAATCATGGCTTGGACGTCCTTCAACAAGTACTTGTCGCCGGCGGGACGATCTAGAATTGATCAGTGCTCTTTTCTAACGAGTTGTCAAGACATAAGTACCAGCGTTGAGCTCATTCATCAGGTGCTTTATTTTGGCGTTGTACTTGTTGACAGCGCGGGGTTTCTTGTTGAGCCGTTGAGATGAGTTGGTAATCTGACGTAAGACTTCCTTTTCAGCGACCCCATGGGCAGCAGCAAGCTCCGGTACAGCGAGTCGTATCGGCGCAAGAAGATTCTCGATCAGCTCATATAGCTCCATCTATGCGAAAGATGATGGCCACTGCCTACCAGGCTAATGCAAAAGATGACGGCAAGGGCCTAGGATATATTATTTAAAGAAGTATTACTGTGTTTTTAGCACCTGGGGGATGATATCATTGATGGGATTGATGGTAATAAGGTATTGTGACTAATGTGGAACGATTTTTGATTGCCATCACTGCTTTTGATAGCTGAATTCTGTTAGATCAATCTTACCTAAGCCATTATTTATTTCCTTGTTTCTGTCCTATCAAGTCTCCAATATTACATACCGAGTCATCGGCCTGAAGAAAAGGTGATTTATCTGACATAATATGTCAAAACATTAGTCATATGCATCAGTTCCATTGAGAAAATCAGCAAATACAAGGGCCCTGACATCTTTTGCATTAGCCTGGTAAGCAATTGCCAGCATCTTTTGCATAGAATCAGCAATAGGTAGTGTCTCGATGGCGTCAGCGAGCTGCATCCCTCGGTTCTCCTTGACGAGTTTCCGGGCCCGTACATTCGCGCGGTAATTGGCGCCTTTCTTGACGTGACTGGAACGACCCCGCTGGCGAGAAGGAATGATTGGACGAAGGGGGTGACGGCTTGCATGAGTGCTCTTTACGCGAGCAACAGGTGATTCCTCGTCGACCTACTCTTTGTTTCCGTCGTCGGGGCACGGGATTGTCGTCTGGAGGGGGGGAAGAAGACATAAGGAAAGAAAGGAGGTGTGCGTGAGAGGCTGTGACGATTTCGTGAAGGATTCGTGAAGAGTTTGTGAAGAATGTGACGCCAGGCTTTGGCCGAAAGGATTGCCGTGTTTCAGGGATTCAGGGTCGTTCGGGCATTTGGTGGGCATTCTCCGATGTTGCCGTTGGGCGGCATTGGCCCAAGGGTGCAAGTCTGAAATTTCATAGCATTTTTAGCTGTCTAGCATTGGATTGGGTAAACTAACTAGAGGAGGGCGTCTGCAAAACGGCGCATTTGGTCCTGAAGGGTGCTGCGTGTATGTAACTCGAGCCTCCCATGCTGAAGATCATTGACGGCCATAAAACTTCGAATACTAGTTAGTGGGAGTGATACAATGTCGGAAAAACTCACTGGTCTCGGTAAACATGGCCGGTTGATGAGTTGAAGGCAAAAATCGTTTCGCGATGTCCAGTCAAAGTCGTGCATGGCCCAGAGCTGGCTGAAAGGCTTGACTCTGTCGCCGTCGACTCTGTCACAGCCTCAGATTCGGCCTCAGCAATGGAAAAGGCAGTATTGATAGCTTTGCGTCCATGCCGTTCGTGTGGCGACAGTCGAGATTGAGTCATTGGTGCTGCCGCCAAAACGGGGACGGTGGACGGTGGATACCGCGGGATTGTTATATACGAGTAGGCGGGTGAGTGATAGAGATGTTGTTTGTTGTATTGACCACCTGTGTTGCCGACAAAAGGTAGCGCGAGCCGGGAGGAATATCGCTTTCGCTGAGCTTCCTCGTGGTCCTTTTGGAGGATATGAGGGCCGAATTCAAGCGTTTGCCGGTTGCTGCGCGATCTCTGGTAGTGACTGGAACGGCTGAAGGAAGTGTTGCGCCATTGGGGATGGGAGGGAGGTCGATGTGAAGACCAGTCTCAAGATCGTCATGATCAAGAGCACATAAGAGGTTCCATTGCGATTTGAGGCTGGCCCACGTAAGATGTCCAGTGATACTTTCGCGCTTGGCACCAGGAGCGTTCAGCGCTGCACTTCTAGGTTAGTTGTCAGTCGAATGAAAAATTGGGCACGGGGCTAGACTTACAATAGTGTGAACCCTCCGACACCAGGCACCAGCCAAAAGAAGACCTTATCCGATTGTTCGTGGGTTTCAAACGAGTTGTAGTTAGAACTGGGGAAGAAGGGAGGGGTGCAAAAGTCTGCATCCGCCATGCTGACGCGACACTGAGATAGTCAGTACAAAGCTGTAAGTAAAGGAGTAGACACTCACAAGTCCCAC